TTATGACATACTACAGGCACTTTGGTTAAAGCTGCAATTCTAGGTAACTGAGATGACAGAGACTTTATCTTGAACGACTGTTTGTAAGCCGCCTACAGTTGCTGTGAGCGAGTAGGTGGCTATAGAAATTTTCTAAAATAAGTAAAATAAATAAACATACAGATCCAGAAGAAGTTAACACAATCCTCTGTGCTATTAATCTAATGGATTGGATGCCTTCATTATTGGGCTAGAGAAAACTGCCAGAGATTACAGAAGGGAGAGTTTAGTAAATGGTGAACTCCTCCAGGATAGAAAAGCATTCCCTTCTCAGTAGGAAAAACATGGTATGCTTCCATTCAAAGAAGCCATCACTTGATCTTTAGAGAGCATTTCTGAGAATATGCGTACAGCTGCAGTGACTTCCTAAATGAAATGGATTCTCTGAATCTCTTTCAGACAGGATTCAGGCCCAGATAGGGAGGAAAAATAACAAAGCTCGTCCCTGTCTGCATGGCATGAAGTTGTATCAATAAACAAACAATAGCCCTGATCTCATTGGACAAGAGGAATAGCAAAGCTCGTGACCTGATGTCTAGGAAGATATGGATAGGAAAAAACTGTTTCAGACTCCAGCCTAGCAAAATGTAGTGGCTGGTATATTATAAAGCTAACAATACAGAAATTCGTTCTCAATGGAGGTTGTGCTACCTAAGAAAGAGCTAACTTGCAGCCTGAGGGGTTTTCGGGATCCCCCCAGTAGTAGATAATAGCCAGGACTTTTTTGTAATTGTGTTTGATGCATCAACTGTGGTCATTCTTGAATAAGGAGGCACAGTGCCTATTCAGTCCTGTCCTTGTCATCATCTACCTAGATTATTGCAATGATTTTAGATAGACTGCCCAACTGTCCATCCAGTATCAGCTAGAAGAGAAGCTCCTAAAGGTTTGTTCTCCAAGAGAATGACATATACAGGGATTCTTAAACAGTTCAGCTTTTTCAGCGATGGTGCCCCGTGTTTGGGATAGCTTGCTTCGGATATCAGAACAACCTACTCTGTTGGATTTCTGAAGAGATTTTAAAATGTAGCTTCTCAGGAAACCATCTGGGGATAATGAGGACATTTTTTCTTGGCTGGTGCACTCAGGGGAGGTTTATTGTTTGAGGCAACAGCTGGCACAAATCTGAAAATTCAACTTCCTTATTTTTATATTAGTTTAATTTAATATACCAATAATTGATCAAGCTGACTTATTGATTTATTATTTATATTGCTTGATGTAAGCTACTGAGAATTAAGAGGCGTACAAGTTGTAGGAAGATTATGAATCAATTTTGTAAATAAAAGCTGCTGAAAATCTGATATATATATATTTCTACATGTATATAAGCATGCAAGGATACCCATACTATTGAGTGGTTTCCGACACCTGAAATCTTTTATTAATACAAATAGTTTTAATTTGTGTTGCTATATTGTAATATTTAACTAAAAGTTGATATGAAATGCATGTCTGCTAGAGAAGGAAGGACTGAATACTTTCCTAGAGTGTTTAAACGGACTATTTTTTTATATACTTATCAATAAAGCACATGAAAAGAGGGTGGTCTAATTGATCTTTTTTCCCCCTCCAATTTTGCTTTTGCTATTTTTGCTTGTTTTGTTCATGAATGCCAAATCCAGCAACATGTGTTCTGTTTCATTTTATATTAATACATAGCCTGACTTCGGTGAGCATTTCACTTGGGAAAGCAAAATGGACATAACATAAAGAACCAATGACATATAAGAGGGAAAGCAACTATTAAAAAGANAATACAACTGTGTAAATGTGCAAAAGATAAGCTCACTCACATAATTCTTCAGGACATTCCACTAATTTGAGATAAAATATTTTATAAAGAAAAGCTGGCTATAATGGACACATAGCCATTACAAATTTTCAAACGACAATTAGAATACAGAAACGGTTTTCCACTGAAATCCTGACCATATGAAACCTGCTATATTGTAATATAGCAGCTAAGAAACTGGCCTACAAAGAACATCCTTAGAGCTTAGATGGGTAATATTTCTGTAACTTGGCACTTTGAAACTCGAATTTTTGTAGCAATGCTGAAGAGTGCTTTAGGATGGCATTCATGAAAATATTTCCATAAGGTAATTAATTTTGGCCCGCCTGAGATCATAGATACCTAGTTGTGGTTTTTGTCAAAGGATCCCCAAACCTTTAAAGCAAATTTATAGCAGCAGTCAAGAGTTGTTCAAGTTGGGAGTCCCTGGCCAGTATTTGAGAAGCTTTTCATACAATTCCTGCTTCTCTTCCTCTTGTATCCAATTCCCCACTCACCACTTGTAAGAAAAAGCACTGGCACTAATTTTTTGGTAGCTTTCTAAGAAAGAATGTGTGAGGAAAGAATAGCCCTCAGATGGCTTCTGATAATCTATATCTGGGGTCCTCTTTTGCATGGACTGGTAGCATCCAGCTCAGTTGGCACTTTTTACTTGAGAGAATTCCTCCACAGAACATCTGATTCATCAGATTCCACAACATGGCCGCTCTGGATCCAACCCATTGTAATATGCAGTGCTTGGAACATTCTGTGAAGTCTTTTATTATGATGGTGAAAGTAAAATTTTAAAGTATTCAATCAGGGGCATTTTTTAAAGTATCAGAGTCTGATTCTTTAAAAAAATCCTCTTATTTGATACGACATTTTTTTAAGATAACAGGGCCTGCAGTTATTGTGTAACATTTTAATTGGGCAATATTATTTTATGACATACTACAGGCACTTTGGTTAAAGCTGCAATTCTAGGTAACTGAGATGACAGAGACTTTATCTTGAACGACTGTTTGTAAGCCGCCTATAGTTGCTGTGAGCGAGTAGGTGGCTATATAAATTTTCTAAAATAAATAAACATACAGATCCAGAAGAAGTTAACACAATCCTCTGTGCTATTAATCTAATGGATTGGAC